GCTCTCTCCCTCCGCCCTTCCGCGTCTTCCAGCTGACACCCGGGCCGGGGACAGTGAGTGACAAGTGCCAGCTCCGAGGGGGGCCTCGCCGTGCGCCGGGACCGGGGGCCTCCCAGGGTTGCCCATGACCCTCCCGGCCGGGCTGCTGAACCCAACCCGGGAGAGGCGAGCTCGGCCCAGAAACCAAAGCCACCCCTCCTTTCACGCCAGACTTCCCAAGGGCGGCGGCCCAGGTCCTGGGGCGGCTGGGTACAATGGCTTTTTGTTTTGCTTTTTGTGTTCCACTAGTTTCAAGGGTTGCTAGTTAACCCCATCACGGGACACACTCAAAGGATAGGCTTTTTACCATTCTGGACCAAAGCAAGAACGCGTATAAAGTTTTTCAATGACTTTTTTTCTTGGCGCATTTATGAGTGACTCGGGCCGGATTCCAGGAGTCGGCCCCATTCCTGTGTTCCTGCAGGAGCTTCTGACTCTACCACACAGGCGTTAACTTTAGTCGGCTTCAGGGGCAGTTGTAGTTTCAGAGCCTTCGGCGCAGCTGCTGGCTCCCGGGCCTCCCTGCAGCAGCTGCTCGGACTCCATGAGAGAGGAACTGGATATAAAGAGCGAGGGCTCAAAGTCAGATGGGAGACCGCCTTGAAACTAGGAGATGATGCCACTCAGCACAGTCCTTCCGTCACTTGTATTGTGGTGGGGAATGGTGAAAGAAGGAATCGCCCTTATTTTAGTTCCAATAGAGACAGCACCACTTTGAATGTCACTTGTAGGGAAAAAAGAGCCCTCCCTTGGAAGCCATTTTTTTCTTCAGTGGAAGGTAGGCTTTGCTCAGTTTTAGAAAAGACCCCTACTTCACCACCAGGACTGCTGCTTTGCAGAGGACACTTGAGTTTGTGCTATTTTCCAGCCCCCTCTACACCCGGTGGGCCTTTGAGAACGCATTCCTGAGGAAGGCGCCCGCCCACGTGGGTCCCAGAGCAGGCCAGGCGCATGGGAGCTGGCTATCATTCGCTGGTTCTAGCGAGGTCTAGGTCCGCGCAGCCTTTCCAGAAGACATTTTATTTCACCTCTGAAATGAGAACCGCAGGCTTTCTCTTCTACTTAAAGTTTCACGTCATTTTGCGATAAGAATGCATCTGGTCTGAATTTCAGGGTGAGCATGGGCAGCACGGGCCCAAATCAGAAAACATTCAGGTACCCAGGCGGGCTGCCTGTTGCCCATAGAAGGACTGTTCACACAGCTATTCAAGGCAGCGGCAGCATTCCTGGGCCCAGGAGCAGGGCCAATAGCTTCCTTGCACAGGCTTTGTGACAAGAAAGCCTGAGTAGCCAGGAAGTGGAATGTTTGTAGGGAAAAGAACTCCCGTTCCCCGGGTCAGCTTACCCATCTTGCATAAGTCCAATGATTAAGTCAATAATGTTTCCATAGTTGAGGACTGAGTACGGTTCTTCTGTATTCCCAATAACGGGTTATTTTTAAATATCATATTTCAGTCTTACTATGTAGCCTTGAATAATGATGTATTTATTTAAATGGAAAGATGTTCAAGCTATAAAGTGAAAAATCAGATAACTCATTGTATCACCCAAATTGTTATATGTATTCATATGCCTAAAAAAATTTATGAAGTTAACATTTTCGGCCAGG